CCCTGGGTTTGATTCCTCAGCACCACATAAGCAAAAAGAAAAAAGCCGGAAGTGGCGCTGTGGCTCAAGTGGTAGAGCGCTAGCCTTGAGCTGAAGAGCCGAGGGACAGCGCCCAGGCCCAGAGTTCAGGCCCCATGACTGGACCCCCCCCCAAAAAAAAAAGAAACTGGAAGAAATCTATTCCACTTGAAATTTAACTTGCTCCTTTATTTTTTTAATCACACTTTTTCGATGGTGAGGATGTTTTGACTTTGGAGGAAGTTGGAAAATAAAAATAAATTTGAGATATGTGAAATACGATTTGGATCATGAGCCACTAATTTTAACTTAAAAATGAAAACTTAGCCTATTGGCATGGAAATGGTAAATGGAGGCATAAGGAGAACCAAAGTTCAATGTGATGCCACCAGGCAAGAAGGTGGTAAAATGCTGGGGTTTTTTCATTTTTTTTAAAATTGTGATTAAGTGATTACATAAATTTCACAGTATTATGGGATAGTGATACTTTGTTAAAGTCACAAACACATTTTAACCTTCATGGGGCAAATTGTCTTTATCGTGGTCAATAAAGTTTATGAGTTCCATGAGCTTTGACAATACAGTTATTTCTTCCACATTGGGTGATATGTACATTTCTTTCCTTTTGCTTAGTGTCAGCTGTTCCCTCTTTCCTTCTCTTCCTTACCTCCCATTGGTACCACTGAGTTGCTTCGTTTTGATGGATGTCCAGTGCAGCTGATGTGTTCCACTGTTATGTTTTCTCATTTTCTGTTTCTGTGTCCTCCTCCTAGTTTCCCTCAGATGTACCCTATATGTGGTCAGCAGCATGGGGTTATTTAGTAATGATTTGATCAGATGAGTAGAGGTCCTTTGTTTCTCAAATCTTGTTTACTTTGTTTTGGATATAACATCAACTTATCAGGGAGACCATATGACATTTGTCTCTTTGCTCTTGGCTTACCTCACTCAACATGATTTCTTCTAGTTCCATCCATTTCCCTGAGATTGCCATTATTTGTCCTTTCTAATGGCTGAATAATATTCCATTGTATATAGGTACCACAATTTTTGGATCCATTCATCTGTAGTGGGGAATCTGGGTTGTTTACGTATCCTGGCTATTGTGAACAGTGCTGCAACAGACATGGAGGTACATGTGTCCTTATATCCTGGTTCCTGTTATTCAGGATAGATGCCTAGAAGTGGTATAGGGGAGGTCAATATTTAGCTTTCTGAGGACCCTCCAGACTGCTTTCCAAAGTGGCTGTGTAAGTGTACATTCCCACCAGCAGTGTAATAGGGTTCCTCTTTCTCCACACCCCTCCAGCATTTGCCATTGGCTGACTTGAGGATGTGGGCCATTCTGACTGGGGTAAGGTGGTATCTCAGGGTTGTCATTATTTGCATTTCCTTTACAACCAGGGATGGTGAACACTTCCTTATGTGTTTCTTTGCCATTTTTAGCTCTTCTTCTGAGAAGTCTCTCTTTAGTTCTCTTGCCCATTTAGTAATTGGTTTGTTGGGTTTGGGAGTTCTTGAGTTCTCAATATATACTGGATATTAACCCCTTGTCTGATTTATTGCTGGTAAATATTTTTCCCAGTTAGTTGGCTATCTTTCTAGTTTGGTTGCTATGTCTTCAGCTGTGCAGAAACTTTTTAAGGTAGCCCCATTTGTCGAGTCTCTCTCCAATTTGTTGTGACCCTGGAACTTTGTTCAGGAAGTTCTTGCCTATGTTCAAGTGTCTCTCCTACTCTGTCCTGCAGTAGTTTCACAGTTTCAGGTTTGATATTAAGGTCTTTAATCCATTTTGAGTTGATGTTAATGCATGGTGACAGGCTGGGGTCCACTTTTAGTTTTCTGCATGTGGGTGCCCAGTTTTCCCAGTACCAGTAATTGAAGAGGCTCTGATTCTTTCACTGTATGTCTTTGGCTCCTTTGTCAAATTTCACCTGCCTGTAAGATTGTGATTTTATTTCTGGATCTTCTATTCTATTCCATTGGTCTTCAGGTCTGTTTTTGTACCAGTACCAAGCTGTCTTTGTCATTATGGCTCTATTTTTCAAAATTAATAAATTAAAATTTCTTTTCAAAATTGTTGTAAAATGCTGTTTTAAAAACAAAAATGCTTGCCTAGGATGTACAAAGGCCTCTGCTCAATCCCCAGTATTGTATGAAAAAAAAATCAAAGAAAGCTACTTTTGCATTCAAAAATATAGCTCTTTATTATCTGTATTTCTATTTCTTATTTTAACTCAACTTATTTCAGTTATTTTAATGTTTAAAATATGCATGATTTTACTTCTATATATTAGTTAAGTATCAATAGTTAAACAAATAATAATCAGAAAATTTATTTACAAAGAAATCATGAGTTCCATACTTACCCACCAAAGTTTTCCAAACTGGGAGCTCAGGAATATCTAACTCTATTATATACTTTAGTATCTCTGTGTGAAAAGTTAGCACTGACAAGTGAATTATATTATTTCCTTTGGTATCCGTTTTTCTCCAGTTAGCACCAAGAGAAAAGAGGTATTGAATAGTGTCCAGTGCTCCTGAAGTTGCAGCAAGTAACAGTGGAGTACACTGATTCCTAAACATCAAGGAACACATTACAATAGGATTTGAGCATACCTATGGTATCATACTTTTTGTAAAACTCTTGAAAGTACTGTTAGAAGAACTCTTGATTTATACCATTGCCTTCCTTCCATCGGAGTTTTCATCCTCTGTATTCCCCATGTAAATAGATTTGCCCCCCTAGCTCTTCATAGTATTGGTGCCTATCCTCTTTCCCAAATTATTGTGTTTATTATGATTTCTTTGAAATTCGATGTTGTACCAAGTTCTTAAAATATGCTATCCTGTTTATTCCCTATAATAACTCTGAGTGAATGAAAAATGAAGGCAAATCTTATCAATCTATTTTACAAGTAACAAAAATGAAGCTCAAGTAGTAGTAGTCAACTCATTTCTTCACATTTCATATCTTATTACAAATCCCAGTTTCTTCATTGCGGCAGAAACTAATGGTTTATCTAAAAATTCTACTCTATTCTATGTGGATAGTGAAGGTCTTTAGGTCTCTAGGTTCAGCATATGGTGCTGCTCAAGTATATTATTATGTTTCCTATCTTCTGCCATACAACTATGTCAATGTGTGAGCAAAGCTATCATGTATATGAACATGTTTCTAGGGTTTGAACTCAGGCCTTGCACTTACCACATAAATGCTTCACCACTTGAGTCTTACCCCCAGCTCTAAAAATTTATATTCTTACAAACAATGACTTACTCAGCTGTTGCTTCAGCCTCTAATAAACTAGGTTCTTTTCTACAAAGAGCAATGAGGATACAGATATTGTCATAGAAAGCTGCAAAGTGAATTGGCATCCAGCCTCTTTTTTCAGAAAGAGTGTAATCAGCTTTGAAACAGAGTAGACAGATGGTTGCTTCTAAGGAGCAAGCCTGTGCAGCCAGGTGTAGAGGTGTTGGACCTGGAAATGATGGACAATTACTGAAGTGGTCAAAGAACTAGTGTTCCTTAAAAAATACCTGTGTGGCCAGGCACTGGTGGCTCTCATCTGTAATCTTAACCACTCAAGAGGCTGAGATCTGAGGATCATGGTTTATAGCCAGTCCGAGTAGGACTTGCTTTAATCTGCAAAATAAGCACTTAAAGAATTTATTCAGGCAATCCTATATTTGCTTAACTCAGGATGGCTTACCATTATAATGTCATACTAGTTTACATGAAAAAAAAATCAGTAACATTGAAAATATTAAATATTTTAACACAGATAATATAAAATATTCTGATAAAATAAGCCATTTGTTGTTTAAATTATTTTCTATTTTATCCAGATATTTAGGCAATATCATTTGGATTTTGAAAAAAAAACACACTTATAAAAAGGCCTCTGTTAATAAATCCAGTGAGTATTTTAGAAGTCTCATCTTACTTACCTCTCAAGAGTAATTAAGCCTGGCGCCCAGTGGCTCACACCTATAATCATAGCTACTCAGGAGGCTGAGATCTGAGGATCACAGTTCAAAGCTAGCCCGGGCAGGAAAATCTGTGAGACTTATCTCCAATTAACCATTAGAAAACTGGAAGTGGAGCTGTGGCTCAAGTGGTAGAATGCTCGCCTTGAGCTGAAGAGCTCAGGGATAGTGCCCAGGCCCAAAGTTTAAGCCCTACTACTGACAAAAAAGTATTTTATATGATGGGCACTTATTCCTACTTAAAATAGTTACTCCCCTTGGTTTTTGTGATATCACACTATTTTCTCCTAACTCAATGATACTCCTCAGCCTTCTTTGGGGACTTTCTCATTGTTTCTATGCCCAAAGGAACATTAAAGTTCTAGCTTAGGTTTTTCTATCTTCTCAGTGGCTTCATTTCTCAGCTATAAATTGATGATTCCCAATATTATATATAATACCGTCCCTGAACTATGGATTGATTTCATCATTATTATATGTCACATAGAACCATTTTTCTTCCTCCAAACCTGGTCTTCTTTGATTGCTCACTAAATCTGTGAAATACATCACGGTCTGTTCAGTTCTACAATCCAGAGACCTGGAATATTCTTTGATACCTCTTTTCATTTCTCCATAACCAGTCTATCACCAAGTTTATGTATCTCAAGAAGCTATCTCTACAACAGCCACCACTACTGTAATCCAAGCCATAATCAACTCCCAATTAATATCTGCCTTGTTGCCCTTCTCAATCCTTCTCAATAACTCTTCAGTGGCTTCTCAATGTATTTTGAAAAACAGTGACAGAAACCACTGGCTCCAGATTAACTTTTACAACTACTTCAACTAGGTCAGCTCCCTTCCATGAACCCACCTCCAACCAAACCTACTCTGTTTGGGTTTCTTGTAACTCCTGGAATGTAAGATGATTACATATTGCAGGTTACCATGGAAAGTGCTGGTCAGTACCTGTTACTCTAGCATAATTTTCAGTAGTGCTCTTTCACGTTCAAGTCTCTCTGATCTGGATCATGCATTATGCAAGTTATCTTGGGCCATTCCTGCTTTCTGACATCTTCTTTTTCTTAAATACTAACTGACTCTCCTTCCTACATCATCTTAAATGGTAGTTAAGGACTTTTTTCCTTAAATCTCTCTCAACTCATAAACTTTAAATGACCTTCTACTTGTTTAACGATCTTTTTTTCATAGCCTTTGGTATCTATACTATCTAACCTAAATCTACATATTTAATTTTTTTACGTATTCTTCCTATTTCTGGTCTGGAATGTAAGGAATTCAGAAGTCACTATTCTACCCTAATAATAATATCAACAATCCTTATTTAGATTTACCAGGGAAGTTAGGTCACATGGAGAACTAATGCCCCCAAACTGAGAGTCAGATGAATACAGAGAATCATAACTTAATGAAATAGAAACCAACAAAAGCATTAATGGGATAGGAAAACCTTAACTGTAAGATTTTTCTTATAGTTTATTATTAAGTTAAAAATGCCACTAGTGGCTTCTTATCAGTATCTGTCAATGGGAAGCAACAGCAAGAGATTGGTGAAGTGAGGAAAATGAAATCAGGTTCACTGATGTCATATCAGCTTTGCCACGTCTACCTACTAATGTAAGGTGGCCAATTCAAGTTGATCCCTTTCTCTCTCCATTTTAGAGTATTTTCTCTATAAATTTTACTTTAATTATTCAGAAATGAAAGTACAGTCTCTTGAAAATTTTTGTTTCCTCCCCACTTAGCACTGACCCCACGATTACTCCAATAAAGCTACATTTTATTAACTGTTGGTTGTGGGGGCTGAACTCTGGGCCTGGGCGCTGTCTCTCAACTCTTCAGCTCAAGGCTAGTGTCCTACCACTTGAGCCACAGTGCCACTCCTGGATTTTTCTGCTTATGTGGTGCTGAGGAATCGAACCCAGGGCCTTATGCACACGAGGCAAGCACTCTACCACTAAGCCAACTTCCTAGCCCCTATAACTGATTTTTTTAAAAACTAGTGTCAATTAGCTTTACAAAGGCATTTCATTTTGACATGTCTCTATATGCATAAATGTACCTGGATCAGACTCACCTTGTTACTCTTCTTCATCCCCATTTTCCCAAATCAATCTCAATAGATTTCATTGTTTCATTTTCATACATTAGTCATATGAAGTATTTTGCCTATATTCATCCTCCTTCACTCTCTGTTCTTCCCTCCCCCCATACACCCCAGATGGTATGTTCCATCTTCCTAATATTAGTTTTTGTTAAAGTGCATGTCTGTTATTCAAAGAGGCTTTCCCATGGTACTTTAATCAGATTGACCCCCCCCTCACCTATTTTCACATTCCCCAGCCCTTTCTCCTTATTATTCAATAGTTTTACTGAGTTTGGTTTTGCGTTTTTGATTCACATATTCAATGTTTACCCTTTAACACACACATATGATCCCAGACATGGTTATGTATATGTTTATCTTTTAAGTGTAACATCATATATGACGGAGACATTTTGGGGATTGAATTTGTAAAAATTAAGAGGTATAGCAAATTATGTATTTAAAAAATGAAAGAAAATCCTAGAAGAATATCAATAAATAGTTATTATTTCAAGCAACAAGGAATTTTCAGATGACATGCTATAAGCAAAGCCTCAGTATACACAATAACTTTTTAAAAATACACTGAATATTTTATTCATGTCTTACCATTTCTTTCTCTTTTCATGTCCACTTTGGATGACTCTGTTGTAAAAAGAAAAGACCCATAAGAAGCATGATTAATAAAATGTTTCCTACATGAGCCCTAAAGCCTCATACGAATAGAATAAAATGGCTATGTGTAGAATATGTCTGAATTACATGAAAGAATACTGAGACTGTTAGTCTACTAACTACTGCATGCACCACATACCACCACAGGCCTGGAAACATTGCCTTTCAAACAGCTGTTCAAAACTCAGTGTTGGGATAATTTTGTGGTTTTTAAACTATAAAATGGCAGTATAGTTGAACATTTCCCAAACTTCAAAATCTACCATTATCAACAAATAGAAAAGCATGAAATTTTATTTTGGTATGTGAGAAGTTTTAATCATTATCTTAAGGTAGCTGTCTTCATTAAAATATAAAAAAATCACCCTTTCTTATCATCATTATTGTTGTGCTACCCATTCCCAATAATATACCTCTAGTTTCCTTTATAGTTATGGGGGAATCTATGCTTTCCTTTTCAAATTATTTCTTGGGCAAGTTGAATGTATTCTAGTAGGTACAAAAATACAAAAATCAATATGCATTTTTAATACTAAGAAATGACTGGACTTTTTTTTTTTTTTGCTTTTCAAGACAGGTCATACTATATAGCCCAAGCTGGCCTTGAACTCACAATCCTTTCTCAGCCTCAAGTAATAGTATTACAGGGTTGTCCTGCCATGTTCAGCTTAAACAAATAGCTCTTTAAATCTGAAACTATCTTTGTAGGAAGCTATTAATCTTTAAAATTATACTACAAGAATGAACTAGTGTTATTAAATATAATTATGAATATTTTGACTATTAGTGTATTCATCTTACTAAATGTAATTTTAGAATTTTTTATATAAAGAAACTAGTCCCTCATTGAGAACTTTGGAATAAGGCTAAGAATGTTCTGAGAGCTGATGGTCATGGTCATATTTCTTTCTCTTTTCTCTGAATTTCTACAATGCATTAGTATTTTTAATAATGCTAGTGTTAATCAAATGTTGTCCTGTAGTCATTTGTCCATATATTCAAATACTTCCTGGTCAACTACTAATGTCAAGCTTTCTTCTGGATACTAGGATATTGGCAAAGTAAAACAGATCCTTGCTTTGTTGTTGTTGTTCAGTCATGGGGCTTGAATTCTGGGCTTGGGCGCTATCCCTGTGCTCTTCAGCTCAAGGCGAGCACTCTACTGCTTGAGCCACAGTACCACTTCCGGTTTTCTAGTGGTTTATTGGAGATAAGAGTCTCACAGACTTTCCTGCCCGGGCTGGCTTTGAACTGAGATCCTCAGATCTCAGCCTTCTGAGTAACTAGGATTACAGGCGTGAACCACTGGTGCCCAGCTAGATCCTTGTTTTTGATAAAGCTTACATTCAAATGAGATACAAGCAAATTTAATAATATGTAAGCTAGCAACAAACCATACTTAAACTAAAAAGAGCCCTTCTTAAGTGAAATAAAAACTCTCCACTTTGCTAAAAACACCAACAACAAATTTTAATTTGCTGTACAAATCAACATTAATTTTTTTTTTCTTTTGCAGTGGGTGGGGCTTGAACTAGGGGCCTGGGAGTTGTCCCTGAACTCTTTTTGCTCAAGAATAGCAGCAGCACTCAGCCACTTTGAGCTACAGTGCACTTCCAGTTTTCTGGTTGTTAACTGGAGAAATGAATCTCACATACTTTCCTGGCAATAGCAATCCTCAGATCTCAGCCTCCTAAGTAGGCAGTATTACAGATGTGACCAACCAGTGCCTGACACAGATTAATTCTTAATGTTAAATAAGGAGAAAACAGGTAAAAATTGGTTGAAAAACGTAATGATACCTTGGCTGAACATAATAAAGCGTCTCTGGTTGACATTGAAGTTAGCATTGCACAGTTGACATATAACAGAAACTCTGTTGTGTAGAGCTGCATGATGGAAAATAGTATAGCCTGCTTCATCTGAAACATTGATTGATGAGCTTGAGGTTTTACGGCCAAATGTATGAAAAACAGCAGATAAGCCTCTTTCAACAGCAGACTTCATACCAAATGGAATACTCTAAAATTATTAAGAAAGCCAGAGTTAGTTTTTAAAATAAAAAGATATGGTATATTAACATAATCACATGACATCTATTCACAAAACCCAGGTGGAAAGTTGCTCATTGGGCAATGCTTAAAGTTCTTAGAGCTATAAAATTTTAAGCTAGGTGATTGTGGCTTAGGCCCAGGACCATAGCTACTCAAGAGGCTAAGACGTAAGGATGGAAGTTTGAAGCCATCCTAAGCAGGAAAGTCCATGAGACTCTATCTCCAATTAATCTCCAAAAACCTGGAAGTGGAGCTGTATCTCAAGTGGTAAAGTACTAGCCTTGAGTAAAAGAGTTCAGGGACAGTGCCCAGGCCCCGAGTTAAAGCTCCAGGACCAGCAAAGCTCCAGGACTGGCACACACACAAAACACAAATAACTAAGAACAAAACAAAATAAAACCATGGAACTTAAAAAATATATATATATTTGGGACTTTTCAGTTTTTAAGGTAAATTTTATAAATTTCTTTATATACAATTTAAAGAGTAGATAAATATTTTGTTTTTATTTCTTCATTTGTTTTTGGGGGGTTTCGGTAGTGGGGCCTGAACTCTGGCCTGGGGATTGTCCCCCAACTCTTCAGCTCAAGGCTAGCACTCTACCACTTGAGTCACAGCTCCACTTCCAGGTTTTTTCTTTTTGCTTATGTGGTGCTGAGGAATCAAACCCAGGGCCTCATACATGCAAGGCAAGCACTCTACCACTGAGCCAACTTCCCAGCCCCTATTTCTTCATTTTTAATAATATATAAATGTATATAGATATACATCATTATATTTCATTGTATAGATATGCCATAATTTATTTCATCAATCTCTACTGAATATACAAGCTCCTTTCAATAATATGCATAATACTGTGCAATAATTACTTGAAAACTTATCAGACTGTTCCTTAGATAAATGTCTGAAAACATAAATCCTAGACCAGTGTACATTTTCACGTTTTAATCTACATTGCTAAATTATACCCATAGAGTGCATGAGGCACCTAGTACAACAAATGACTTTTCTAATATCCTTTAAAAGTAGATGGTGATCATTGCTAACTTAAGTGCAATGTAGTTTATTTAGGAATTTCTTTGCTCCAGGTCTCAAGATGGAGAGGTAAAACACCAAGAAGTGGGTACGCAAAAGGGGTGGGGAAGGATCAAGGGGAAAGAGGTAAACAAATGAAGAGGAGAATGGGGGAAGAATGCAGTCAAACTTGATGTATATCCTACAAAATTAAGAAATATGAGTGAAGGGGTAGATGGGGATGGATGGGTGACATTGATCAGGATATATTGTATTCATAAACTGCTTTACTGAATGGCAATTCCTTTGTACAACTACTTAAAGACAATAATAAAGAATAAATTAAAAATGTTACATTCTTGTTATAGACATTCAGACTACTATTTAAATTTAAGCATGTTGCTTTGTTGAATGACAACTCCTTTGTACAACTATTTAGATAATAAAAACATTCAAAAAATTGAATATTACTAAATTTGAATGTATTCTTATTAAAATAAACAGAAGGCAAGTTAGTGAGCATATCTGATCAGTCCCACAAGCAGTTAAGTCAAGGTATGTTAAACAGATGTAAAATTTGGTTCAGGATAATAGGTTTGCTCCTTTAGGTTTCAATCCTAGGACTGAAGCCAAGCTCTTCCAGTTACAAACTTTTTGTATGTAGAATCAGATTTATAATACTACTTTCCATACAGTATAAGAAGTCAGTAAGTATTAGGTCTCGTTATGATTAACCAGTTCACTAATAGTTTGTGTTTATTGATAAAGAATCATAAATAGAACTGTACCCTCAGTTATTAAAGTGTGGAAGTTTTCTTTTATATTGAAGGTTTTAGTTAACCTATAAACTATTTGTTCAAAACATACAGACATATGCTTGATCATATAAAACTTCGTACACTAAATTATGTGATAGTCACTGATATACCTTGCATTTCATAGATTTTTTGAAACCAAATTTCTTCTTAAATTGTTCATGTAATTGAGCTTCTGTAAGGGGAAGTCTTTTCACTCTCAGAGTGTTCACTATCTCATTTATAGCTCCCCACCATTGTGTCTTATATAGTTGCTGATAAAATATTTCAAGATCAAAACAGATCACGTAGTAGCTATAAAAAATAAGAAAAATGACTTTTCTAACTTTGAAGTGATATACTATTTTTTCTATGCTGACAAAACTCGTTTTTTTCCCCATAGTAATCAAATACAGAATTGTGGTTTAAATTATACTTGATTGTAAATGTGGCAGTAACATACTTACCAACTATGACTAATCAAATCATATATAGAAATGTCTTCTTACTGATGATTTGACTCTATGCCACACCAGAGATTTGGGCACACCAAATAGCCACTGGTTCAAATTCTGGGTGAAGGAGTCTCAAGTTTATCTTTTAACTGTGTGCTTCCTCTTCTCTTATTCTTTGTCAACATTTACTTTCTTGGGGTTAGTTTACCTTGAGTCTAGAATGATATGTTGGGTAATAGTTCCTTGGCTCTTATTACAGCAATGGCTTATGGAACTGCACCTCCAAACCAACCCACCAAGTCCCTGGACAAGGGGTGGTGTGGGAGAGATACTTGCACAAATCCTGCAGGGCCTCTATCACTATTCAGTGGAAGCAGTATGAAACTTAAGAATTATTCTGCTCTATAGGGTTGTTTGTCACCACAATAAAAACTGGCCTTCCTCCTCTCCTGCCTCCCAATGAGTATTTTCCCACACAGATTTCAAAAGTGAGTACTTCAGCCACTGATGCTGTCAGTTTCCTGGGTTTCTTCTCTAAATGCAGCTTGTTTTTACTGTAAATGCAGTATTTGTGACAGTTGTTCCCTTCTCCTATGGATCTTGACTCGTATTCTTAGGAGGTCTTAGAGATTTGCTCCATTAAACTAATTTCTGGAAAATGACCTTGTAATTCTCTATGTAAGAAAACTCTTTACCATTTGCCGAAGGAGAAAAATGAGGCCTGCTAGGTCAGTTACAGGAAAGGCCATAAAGAACTACTGTAAGGAGTGAAAAGTCCAAACCTACCCTTCTTTAATGTTCACTTCAATTCCAAGCTTATGAGACAATAGGTCTCAGTGTGTGGATGGAGTTAGTTTGAGAACCTGTTCACTTTCATTTGAGGATGTGATATAATTCTTTCTATCTGCCACCCCTCCCCATAAATATATACTAAAGGCTACTTTCACCCATTCAACAAGTGTGGCTAGTGTGGATAATTACTGAAAGCTCCTTACCTCTTTCCGTTTAATTCCATGACTGGTATTGAGTAATGTTCTTTATATCCTGAATCTTCTGCAAATGTCTTAGTAGCACAATCCTGTATTTTTTGTATGTTGTTCTAAAATATGAATTATATTACTAAACATATCTTTAAACAAATTTAAAGAAATTACAAAATTTCCTTTAAATGAAATTTTATACACATACATGACAATTTTCAATACAAAATCCTGGAAAATCCTGATCATGACTACATCTAATCCCTATTATGAGACTAAAGTTGAAAAAACATAGAAAAACTGTATATAATATAGACTAGATAGAAAAGCAATGACAATTGAGATATGATGTTTATACAAAAGTATATGTAAATTAAAATTTCCAAATGCTAGAAACTGAAGGGAAATTGACGAGCTATACTAAATGTTCAGGAATTTCTTTCCTTTATCTCTTCTTTCATCTTTTCCTTCCTTCCTTCTCTTTTTCCCTCCTCCTTCTCTTTCTTCATTCCGTGTTCCCTCCCTTCTCCCTTTCTTCATTCTTTTTTATTTAAGTGGTGATCTCACTATATGGCCCAGGCTAGTCCTGACTAATGATCTTACTGACTGATGTACATAGGTATTTGTCATTATCATTTCATTGTGTATATATGCCATAATTTATTTCATCAGCCTCTATTGAATATACATGTTCCTTTCAATGATATGCATAGTGCTGTGCAATAATTACTTAAAAACTTATCAGACTGTTTCCTTAGATAAATGTCTGAAAACACAAATCCTAGACCAATGTACATTTTCAGGCTTTAATCTACATTGCTAAATTATACCCATATAAAGTGCATGATCAACTATTCTAGGACAAATATGCCTCATTGGAAATCTCTAAATTCTGTGAGGAAGACAGCTATACCTAGCTTATTTATCTCTTCATCTTTGGCATCCAACACATCTTATAGATACAGTTGCATTGAATTTATGTATATTAAGGTACTGTAAGTTAAGATGAATAGTGAGGTATAAGAATAATCTCCTTGAAAGTTACTTAATGCCTGTACCAATAGGAACGATTTCCAACCAAAGAGCAGAATTAAAAAGAGATGTAGAAGGCCGAACCATCCTGGAATAAAAATAATTTAAACCTTAAAATCTTCCAAAGCATTCTCAATTGGAGGTGTGCTGATATCAAATTCAATTCCTCCATGAACATGAAAATATTGATTTTCTTTGTAGTGAAAATTCTGGCACTTAAAATCTTTTCCATAAACAAATGGAGGAAGTTCCCGCTCTGTCTTGACCTTGTCATCTCAAAAAATGAAAACAAAATTTTATTTTAAAAAGTTAACAGCACATATACAATCATATTTTGGATATCTAAATTCTCATTCATGTATACAAACTAAAACAATCTTGGAATTTAAATATTGGCAATCACTGCCTATTGAATCATCCATACTCTTAGTATGTATACATACAAATAATGAATAAGGTGTTCATATAATAAATTTTTAGTATTTCTGAAGCTTACTGTAAGACATTTAAAATGCATAATCAAAATATTATTCTAGGAATGAATTTAAGACATATTTATCTCATAATATGAGAAAAGAGCTGCAATTATGTGTCTTAGAAAAGCTAGTTAAATGAATTAAAACATATGAGTTAGTGTGTATAAAAAGACATGAAAAAGAAACAAGTCGTTATCTCTCATTTAAGTAAAATACCAGACCATATTTCTGTAATGAAACCACACATACAACTTAATTAAAAAAAATTTATAGGCTGAGTGCTGATGGCTCATGCCTTTAATCCTAGCTACTCTGGAGGCTGAGATCTAAGGGTTGCAATTCAAAGCCAGCCTGGGCAGTAAAGTCTGTGAGACTCTTATCTCTGATTGACTACAAACTGGATCTGGGACTTGAAGTGTAGCTGCAGGCTTTAACACAAAAGTTTAGGGACAGTGTCAAGGCCCTGAGTTGAAGAACAGCACACACAAAAAAGTCTCAGTGTCAGTGTGGGAGCACGCACATTCATACACACACATGGACAGGCAGACACAGACACAGACAGACAGACACACACACACACACAGCCTTCTTTTACTTTAGTTTTACAGATATTTCAATCTTTGTTTTCAGAAATCAAAAATGATTCCATTTAGCTGGGCACTGGTGGTTCATGCTTGTAATCCTAGATACTCAGGGATGAGATCTGAGGATCATGGTTCAAAGCCAGCCTAGGCAGGAAAGTCTGTGAGATTCATCTCCAATAAACCACTAGAAAACTGGAAGTGGCACTGTGGCTCAAGTGGTAGAGCACTAGCCTTTAGCTGAAGAGCTAAGGGACAGCACCCAGGACCAGAGTTCAAGCCAAAAAAAAAAAAAAGATTCCATTTGTAAACTTTAAACAAAATATGCTATGTCTTTGAACACTAAATTCTAATGAAATTTTACTGTATTCACAGCACCCATCATAAATATAGCATACTTCTCTGTTTACTTAGAACTTTTCCAGTAACTTTTATAACTGGCATAAATATATGTAAAGTACTAGATATATAAAACAAAAAACTTCATTATATTGGAAACATCAGATTGTATTTTATTATTTTCACAGGTGATAGGTAAATTACCTTACTGGACCAACATACTAGAAATTATGAATTATTCATTTAATATGTAGTTATATTATACATTTGATTTTGGTGACATTCTTACCTGAAAAAGGCTGAAGTAGACTGTTTAAATATGGAACTTTCATCTTCCTTTTTAAACTCAGTAAAAATGGAATCAAAAAACATATTAACTTTAGATAGCCTATCCCTCTTCTGATTTCTTTCTTCTTCTCAAAGTGTTTTTGAATAACCTTTTTTTGAAGATACAACCTTTGCTGTAGTCTTTGGTAGGTACAAATATCAAGATAATCCTGAGTATATTTTATAGCATTAGTAAGCCAGTACGCTGTTTCAAATATGAAGACATTTTCATGCTGTTGAACTTGTGTGGTACTGAATGTCATCTTTAGCATAATATGCTCAGCGTATTTCATAAATACAGCCTTTTCTTCAGGGCTATTGGGATCATATGTTGGATCTTCATTCATGTCTTCATCATAGATTCCACTAAAGTCTGGATCCTTTGTAATATCAACCAAACCTTCATAGAGAAAAATCATAGCATCCAGGGAAAGGCACAGGTTCAGTTAGTAGTATAGAAAACAAACCAACACCTCTATGTTTCTAATCCTGAGATTCAAAATGTTCAGTGGTATGAAGACTAGAGATAGCACTTTCCTCTGCTGGATATAGCTACTTAATTGTAGTCTTTGTATCTATGTATCATCCTGAATGGACACATTTTCCACTGAAATTTTTTTTAAAGTTCTTGAAAGGTTGGAAATAATTATAACACGTGGTATACTTTTTTCTTAAAAAATGGTACAACAGATGTCTTATTTTTACCATGGATGTCAAAATTGGACAAACAAACATCATTGGATCATTTTTTAAAAAGAAAGTTCAAAACTTCGATGTACACGAAACTTTAGGAGGCCTACATTTGTCATGATACCTTATAACATGAAAGTGTCTGTGATGCTTTTTCTGAAGGACTGCTCCTCTCTTAACAATTATTAAATCCGGGCTGGGAAGGTGGCTCAGTGGTAGAGCACTTGCCTTGTATGCATGAGGCCCTGGGTTTGATTCCTCAGCACCGCATAAGAAAAAAGAAAAAAGCTGGAAGTGGCGTTGTGACTCAAGTGGTAGAGTGCTAGCCTTGAGCTGAAGAGCTGAGGGACAGTGCCCAGGCCCAGAGTTCAGGCCCCACAACCGGACTCAAAAAAGAAAAAAAAAAACAACAACAAACAAAAATAGTTATTAAATCCCCCTCTTGAGCTAGAATTATAGGTTCCTAGTTCAATGAATATTTTTAAATTAATGTTTTAAATAGGTGTGCTTTATAAATTATGTTTTTTGTTTTACAATGAATTATAAAGGAAACAATAAGGCAACAACTATATGAAATTACATTACCATATTAATTATATTTGATGCTCTAATGATGATACTTATTCTATGTTTTGTTGAGAAGAGAAAACAAATGAGCTTTTCACATTTTTTTTTTTTTGCCAGTCATGGTACCTGAACTCTGGGTCTGGGCACTGCCCCACAGCTCTTCAGCTCAAGGCTAGAGCTCTACCACTTGAGCCACAGCACAATTCCGGCTTTTTTTGCTTATGTGGTGCTGAGGAATCGAATCCAGGGCCTCACGCATGCAAGGCAAGCACTCTACCACTGAGCCACCTTCCCAGCCCTCAAGGTATTTTTTTTCTAGTAACTAGCTCTACACTGACAAATAAAGGGATTTTTTCTCTAAATATTTTTCTCCTCAATTATATGTCCAATACAGATAAAAGTAATTATTTCCAACTAATTTACCAATAAAATCTTCAATAACAACATATAGCTAACAGAAACCTGGCTAACTAGGAAAAGTATTTTTCATTTCTTGTGTCAATTAATAAACAGTATTAACACTATATAAAATGGGCTAAAGAGTGAAAATATATTTTTGAATGTCTAACACATTATATATAACCAATTAATATGTCATCATACAAATCAATGGCTTTGTTCTCAGAATTGCCAAGAATGTAACCATCTGAGTGATATTTAATTTCTGAAGAATTGGAGAACATCCATTCTCAGTTTGTTAAAACCTATCATGTAACTCTCTCCTCTAATCAAATGAAATTCCAACACAGATTTATAAAAAAGTGAGATTTATTTTTTAAACTGTGCCCCAAACTATGGAATCCAATTTAGAAAATTATTGGATGTATGAGATCAGTGAAAGCATTGGGCAGTATACAGGGCACAAATGTCTCATTTCACACCCCATTCTCTACTGTCCACTGAGCTTGCTATAAAGGTACCATGGGACATTTTTTTTTTTTGTTGGTAATGGGGCTTGAACTCTGGGCCTGGCCTCAGCTCTTCGGCTCAAGGCAAGAGCTCTACCACTTAAGCCACAGTGCCACTTCTGGCCTTTTCTGCTTATATGGTGCTTAGGAATCAAACTCAGGGTCTCATGCATGGGAGACAAGCACTCTACCACTGAGCCACATTCCCAGCCCCTTCTCCAACATCTTATTGCCTGTTTTCTTACAACATAAGCACCAAGAATTAGGTACTTTCAAGAAGGGTGGGGGCCAAAGGGAGAGGTGTAGAGGACTGAATGGATGAAGAGAGGGAAAATGAAGTCAAGAATTTATTGTATATACCACAAAGTTAAGAAAAGTAAGGGAAGGGATGGGTCAAAGGAGGGGTGAAGTGTTGAAGAGGTGAATTGATCAGAAGCCTTGTATTCATAACCTGCTTTGCTAAATGGCACTTCCCTTGTACAACTTATTAAAGATAATAAAAAAATTAAGAAATGAAAATTCTTTAGAAATGATGGCAATATTTAGAAATTTATAATAAGAAATGATAGCTATATAAACTGCAGGTAAATTGCCTTTAAATATTAAAGTGACTTGTAATGAAAATAATTAAAAAGTGTTTAAGTTCTCTTACCTGCTGAACTAAATTCTGAAAAAACATCTTTAGTTGTTTGAGGCTTCCCATCTGGATCAATGTCCATAATGGTGCGCCACAATTCAGAGAATCTGGTTCTTTTCTCTTTGGGCATGTATATTCCATGCCACAGTGCTTTCAGCATATAGTCAATATGGATTAGAATCTGGCCAATTCTAGTATCATAATAGGCAGGAGGCAAATGACAAGAAGAACTCTGATCATAATTAGCTTCTAAACTGATGGAAGGTATTTGATTTAAGCAATAAATCCCAACAGCCAACTCTCTTATGATCTGATGGACTTCTCTATAGTCTAAGAGGGCAGAAGGATCCACAGGAGTCAGTAGAATTGCAGTAGAGAAGCCTACTGTATTCATTTGACTCATGAGTCCACAAGGGCTGTCTATTTGGAAGCGAACATCCTCTTTGGAAGATAACCAACTAACTAGTGCCGTAGCTAGTAATTCTTGTACTTCACTCCGATCATATTTTTCAAATAAAGCAGAAGCATTTCTCTGTATTGCTAAATTTTCCAGATAAGTTTCTTCATCTTGAACTTGATCAAGTCTAGGTACTCCTTTTTTGGGCAACCTTATCATTTCTGATTAAACCTAGTTCCTTGGTGAAGTTTCTGCAACAAATAAAAGTGAAAAGACAAATAATAAAATTTACTGTGGTAAAGAATCTTGATTTCCCTAGGAATAGATATCTCTCTAAAGTTCATCTTTTCATAGTCAACCTTCTTTTTTCAATTTTTAAAATAATTATATCATGAAAAAGCAGAAATCTGAATTGAACTAAAATTGTAAAACCTTTAGTATCCATCATGTTCTGCTTTTCCAATATAAGAAAATATTGAAAAGTATAATCATTTGCTGAATAAAAATAGTTTTGGAACTTTACAATTTAGGCAGGGGCTGGGAAGGGAAGGAATGTAGTTGTGGATATGGGAAGAAAGGTATGGTAGGGGAAAATCAAAGGAGGAGGCAACAATCCTTGATAAGAAATGTACTCATGACCTTGCTCATGTGATTGTAACCCTTCTGTACAGTATTTTCACAACAAAAAACTTATTTTAAAAAATAGTTCTGACAAAACCAGATTTATTTTATGGGTGGTTCTATAGATTATATTGCCTCATGAGATGGTAGACATGTTTGTCTCAGAATGTGTCAAGTGTTAAGAAACTCATGAGAATGTCAGGAAAAAGGCTGAGTTTATATATAGAAAGGTACTACTAAACATTTACTGTTCTATTTTTTTGTTTAGTTTTGTATATATCTTGTTTTTTTTTAATTTTATTTTATTTTATTTGTGAACATACTGTACAGAGGGGTTACAATTGCATGGGCAGGATAATGCGTACATTTCTTACCAAGCATTGCAGCCTCCTCCTTTGTTTACCCTTCCCATCCCTTCCCAGCCTCCCCCCTCCCCCCCATCCCAATCCTTCTCCTTCCCCCCTCCCCCCCCCCCCCCCCCCCCCGCACCAATGTTGTAAAGCTCGTTTTGGACATGACAACTTGTACTTCTCATTGTTGCATCAGATCCACCTGTATCCTTAAACAACTGGTTTTTCCCCATCTCCTCCACAAGTTATACTGACATCAAATATAGTGAAAGCAGGGGTTATACTGTGGGGGAGGGACATACAAAGCAACAAAGAGATAATCTTATAAATGTGTTAGAAACACATGCATGAAAGAAAAAACATTAAAATACATATCTAAGGGTTCATTTTCCTGACATCACATTATCTGACCTTTTCCGCTTGACTCGTACATATACTAGATATTGCAAATAAGGGAAACCATGGGACCTATGTTTCTTTGGGCCTGGCTTACTTCACTTAATATAATTTTTTCCAAGTCTTTCCATTTCCTAACAAATGGGGCAATGTCATTCTTTCTGATGGAGGCTATATCTTGTTTTTTTGAAGTTAACAGAATGAAGACTTGGGTTAAGAGGCATGGCTGTAGTGATGTGTCTGCTGTCTAGCAAGCACAAGGTGCTGAGTTCAATTCCCAGTACTGCCAACAGAAAGAGGCAGAGACAGAAAGATGAAGGATGAAGTGGAGAAGGACCTGCTTTAAAAAAAATGAAAATACTACTGATGCCAGGCGCTGGTGGTTCCCGCCTGTAATCCGAGCTACTCAGGAGGCTGAGATCTGAGGATGGTGGTTCAAAGCCAGCCCGGGCAGGGAAGTCTGTGAAACTCTTATCTCCAGTAAAACACCAGAAAACCAGAAGTGGCACTGTAGCTCAAGTGGTAGAGCGCTTGCCTTGAGCTGAAGAGCTGAGGGACAGCGCTCAGGCCCAGAGTTCAAGCCCCACGACCACCAAAAAAAAAAAAAAAAAAAACTACTGAACCTTCAGTTTGTTTTCTTTTCTTAAAAAAATTTTCCCTATTGCTAAGAAGCCAACCCAGATTCTCAACAAGCACTATATGACTGAGCTAAATGCCCAGCCCAGCCCTCAGGTTCTGTGGACCCAAATATTTTTAAAATATTTAAAAAAATATATAAAATTTCTACTTATTTCATTAAATTGGCCTCCATCATACAGCGATTCTCAAAATTTAGCCTGTATCAATTCACTTGAGACTTGTTAAGACACACACTGTTGGATGCCACTGGAGTTTCTGCCACTGTTAACTGGCCTGGGGTCAGAGAACTTTTATAAAGAAGATGCAGAGGCTGCTGGTCTGGGCATTGGATACTAGATAGGTGGTATTTTTCCCACTTTATAGACTTTAGGCTGACAGACTTTAGACTGACAGACTACAGGACATGTCTGAGGTTAAACAACTTTCAGATTCAGAACCTGGTGTCTAAATTCAAGCTTAACACCCATGGCTACAACCAGGTGGCATCTGCTATGGACATGGGAAAGGACAAGGAAATGAGAGAAGCCTACTTTACAAAGAAGTCATATTCTTCATGGTCCCGAGTATCCTCAGAAGCTTGAGGTGGTACTGTCCAAGTACATCTTCTTTCTGGACCTTGACACTTGGTCAAGCCCTCCACAGAGAGAGGGAGATTCTGCAGAAGATTCTGAATGGCTTTCCTGGGTCTGCTTGCCCTCTGAAAACTGTCTGCCTGGTCTTGGACACCTGTTGCTCCTCTGAAGCAGGTCAAAGCCCTTGGTTCTCTTGCCCTTTGGTTGGGCTTGCACACACTGGAGATGAGGCCAGAGGAACATCTATATAGCTGTGGTCTCACTTAATACACAAATGGCCTCATGGTCATTTGTTAGTGCTTACATTTCTGCCATATTGATGAGACCCCCTAAGCTCTAGAACTCAATCCAGCATCATGCTGAGGCCTTGTTTCTGTTAAAATAAAAAGAATGGCAGAAGTGAGAGACAGGCTTTGAGGGAATTCCAAATTGGAATCCTTTGTTCATCATCTGTCCAATGAACATTTATGGAATACCAATTATGAGCCAGGTACTGTGCTAGAAGCTTGAGATGCTAGAACAGAAAAACAAACACAAACCTTGAGATTATAGTTAAGCAGATAACCAAACATGTATATTTGTTAATAAGTGGAAGCTCTAATGGGTTCCTAAGAAAGCAACTATTCAATCATTTCTTTTTTTGTACTGGTAATTGAGTTCTGAGCTTAGAGCTTGCTAGACAAGTACTCTATCACTTCAGCCATGGCCTCAGTCCTGAGTTTTTAAACTGAGCCTGGTAGAGGAAAAACAGCTATCTAAGCAAAGAATTGAAGTAGCTCTTGAGGGTTAGGGCCCACTAGCAGGTAAGGATGAAGTGACAGTAAAGTTACGTATCTTGATTAACAGAACAAAACTAAATAGAGAACAGGAGGTGTGGGTACCAAACTAAAGCTCACGAGGGATAGGTCCCTTATCCTTAAATATTGGTCTAAGATGGTGGTAGCCAGCTAACGGCTAGGATAGTTGCAACTGGAAATGGTAAGGGTACTCTGGGTCAATTTCAGAAATTAGGAAGCTTATTAGGAAAAGATTAAATGAAAAGGTATCCAAAGGGAAGATGCCAAGATGACTCTTCAGTTTCTGTAAGGAGCCACAAGAACAAGATTCTGAGTTGTGACCACAATTCTCCTTGAAGTAACCTAAGAAACAAATAGAGGTCAGGTATACCTTTTAGATATCTAGGTATGGACCAAGAATAAAAGCTAGGGTGAAATAAATATGGGCAGATTTATAGTAATGAAATCTAAGAGAATGGCTACTTATCAAGAGAGCATAAAGTTGGGAACCCAACATGGAGACTTTTGAAAGTTACATTTAATGGTCAGGAAGAGAGAGGGTAGAGTCAGCAGAGAAGACACTGAGAGCCAGGAAGGGAAGAGGAAAACTAGTCAGAAGCCAAGAGAATGGTTTAAAAAAATAACACAATAATCACCTTTGTTGGATTTTGCTGCCAGGTCAGAGATGAGAAATTAGAACTTCCACTGAATTTAGCAACATGGAGGGTCTTGGGGAGTAGACCTGACATGGAAGAATATGTGAAGATTTGTGAAATTAAGTATTTACAAGTTGTTTTGTTAATAGTTTCTGATGTGCTAAGGCAAACTTACTAAGACAAAAATACTACGTATTGCTCAGGAATATGAACTGTAAATTGTTTAGCTTTTCAAAACCTGTTCTACAAACAAGGCCTGTCTAAACCAAGGTACCCAATGATAACAGAAAATTGAGTTTTTGAGTGTAACTACCATAATGAGAGTTAGTGTGGGAAAAGCAGTTTCTCTACTTTCCCACAAGACTTCTGACACCAGATGTACATTCAATTCTGCAACTTAGACTATCACTCAGGTGTTCAATAACTTAATTCAATTTTAATTCTGATTCTACCTACCCACTGTAAGATCCCACAAATTATGGATTTAGTCCCACAAGACAGCCTCTACTTCTGTCAATTACAAGTTGTAGCTTCTAACAAACAAGCTACACATTGCGGGGAGGGGGCTCCAAAAGCCTTCTTCAGTTTTGATAATTTTCTAGAAAGGCTTACAGAACTCAAGGAAATATATTTGCTGGCTTGTTATAAATTGATGTGGGGCCTGAACTCTGGGCGCTGTCCCTCAGCTCTTCAGCTCAAGGATAGCACTCTACCACTTGAGCCACAGCGCCACTTCCAGCTTTTTTTCTTTTGCTTATGTGATGCTGAGGAACTGAACCCAGGGCCTCATGCACGCAAGGCAAGCGCTCTACCACTGAGCCACCTTCCCAGCCCCAACAATCTTAATTTTTAAAAAATGACTTTCTATTAAATATAAGCCAGGAGAAGGCGATGCATAGGACAATGTACTTTAGGGTGGAATGGCAGACAGCTTCTATGTCTACTGTGTATGCTGCCTCCTAGAACCTCCATGTTACAAAACCCAGAAACTCACGAAAGCTTCTTTCAAAAGTTTTTAATACAGATTAGTCTCCAGCCCAAAGTACTTTACGTCCTAGAAACAGATTCCAACTCTTTATATAAACACATGGTCTTTTACATCCTATGCTGTGTAGGATTAATGCTCCAGAAGTAGCTTCAGTATGGCTTAAAAGGGATTATCTTAAGTAGCAGGATACTGCCATCACATTTTATAATAATAAGACAGTATTTTACTTTTATTTCAATAATGTGAGATCATATTATTTAATATCCTTTCAAAAGAAAGGCTTTCTAAGAAATATGGAGCCTTCCACATTTATCAGATGCTTTTTCATTATTTTTTTCCATTTTTGCAATTCTGGATCCAAACTGCATGGCCCGCTTTGGCAGAACAGCGGAAGCTGTAAGACCAAGTTCCACAGCTGCTAGACGTAGAAGTAGTTTTTCACCAATTCCACGGGGTAAAGTCAAATTTGCCTTTTCCCAAATTGGTAGGGCATTTAGGAAGGAGACAACATTTTCATCCAGAAAAGGAAATCTGTAAAATAAATAGATATGTAGTCACTATATAAATATTAAATCTGTTTATGCTTATTTACATACTTTATGGCCACAATTGAATCACATGAAAAAAGTTCTTTGTAACATAGAAAGGTTAATACATATGCTGCAAAACAAATTAAGTCTCAATAAGTAAATCAAGAAACAATTTCAAATTGTTTTCCAAGGTATCTTGGGAACAAGTATGATCTTAATTAATCTAACTGCATCAAATCCTTATCAGGTCCAAAAAACTGAACATTAAAACAGTTTAGCAAAGTCTATAATCATGAACTTACTAAACACTAACTTACAGTATTAAAATTGTTCAAGCCCCACGAACAACAAAAAAAAATTATTTAATTACACATAAAAATGGGGAGGGGGCAGTACTAGAGTTTGAACTCAGAACCTCTCGTACATACCATTGAGCCATGCCTCCAGCCCAGTCTTTCCATGGTTAATTTTAGGATAGAGTCTGCTTCCCGCTTTGAGTGCCCTTATGTGATAATCCACCTAATTTTAAGCTACCATCAGCACTGAGTTCATAGGTAAAAGCCATTGTGCCTTGCACCCCACCCCCTCCATGGATATGTATGGTCTTATTGATTCTTCTGTTTGGATTGGCCTGGAACCATAATCTTCCCAATCGCAGCCTAGTTTGGGATGACAAGCATATACCACTGTGACCAGCTATCAGTTGAGGAGTCATATAAACTCTTCTGCTGAGATGGGCCTCAAATCACAATCTTCCCATTTTCACTTTCTCAAGTAGCTAGGATTATAGGCATGAGCTACTGATACCTGGCTGTTTTTACATTTAAATTGTCCAATCAGTAACAAATTGATATGCTAAAACAAAATAGTCTTAATTTTTAAAAAATGACTTTCTATCAAATATTTTCATCTTTTAATTTTCTCCACAAAATTCTAGGTCTTCTATTTTTTTTCCTTTTTACAATATTCTTACCATTCCTTCTCCCATTCCTATAGATTTTAGCTCAAGTAGAAAAGCTGAGAATGATAAAGGCATTTGTTACCAAAGATATCGTATAAAAATAAACTGCAAAGGCAAACAGACTAATCCAAATAAGTAACTGTTTCTATGGATGCCAAGATATAAGAATACTTTACTTAGATCTAACTACTGTAAGTGTGTTTGTTATATCACAATTCTGTATTAGCTGTTTTAAAACTCTTCATATACATTTTTGTCTGAGTATAACATATTTTCATGAGGGTATTAACTGCTTTCCTTTTGACATAGCTGAAATAATAAATTCAATTTCTTTCATTTTCCCTATCCTTTCTTTTTTCAATATTTCAAAGAGAAAAGAATATATAGATTAGTAAAATATTAGTTACATATTTACCGTGAAATCTCAAAAATTATAATAGAAGAGCCAAGTATGGTGTGGTATACTATATGCCTGTAATTTGGATGTAAAGGCAGGACAATATTGACTTTGAATTCAGTCTGGGCAAAATTATCCAGACCCTATCTCAAAAACAAATACAAATGAAAAAGACCAGGAGCATGGCTTAACAGAGTGTTTGCCTAAAATATCCCAGACAAAAAGTAAAAACAAAAATGACAATAGTACTCAAAACTTCACATGAATCAAGAGTAGCAATGTAACAACAAAAATTGTGTAACAGCAACCATGATCTAGTGGAAAGGACAAAGGTCTGAACTAGGACAAGAATGACTTCGAGAGATGGAGGGAATTAAGGGTATTATGATGCTCCAACAATTGCAATGAGGTTCACCTACAATACCCTGTTGTGGCAATTGGTACTCATTTTTTTTTTTCCTGGTTGATTGTGAGGCTTGAACTCAGGGCCTGGGCACTGACCCTGAGCTCTTTTGCTCAAGGCTAGTGCTCTACTACTTTAAGCCACAGCTCCACACCCAACTTTGGAATGATTAATTGGAGATAAGTCTCATGAAGGCTTTTCTGGCTGGGGCGTCTTTGGACTGTGATCCTCAGATCTCAGCCACCTGAGTAGCTAGGATTACAGGTGTGATCCACTAGTGGCTGGCTATATTTTAAGCCATGA